TCTGCAATATCCTTTCCAAACAGATGTGTACCAGACCCCTGTGCTATACTCCTGAAGACCATCCACTGTCAGAGACCATAGGAGAAGGGGAGAAAAAGGCCAATTTAATGCAATGGGGTATGTGAGGCTGCACCGTAGAGTAGAAAGTCCAACAGTTTATAGTAATGTAGCAATATGTTTCCTTGACAACTGTACCACAGTAATATAAAGTCCAACTCCCTTTAGCACTATTGCAACAGTTTTATAAATCTAAATTACTGCAAAATAGAAAGTTTACTTAAAAAACTCAGTGATGGATATCAAGGGATCCTCTTGGAAGAATGCATTAAAGAAGGAAATTGTAAATTTCTGTCTGGTTCATAAAATCTAGGCATGGGTGTGTATGAATCATATGTCTAACTATCTTGTCGTCACAGTAGTCTTTTATACTAATAGACATAATAAAAGCACATTCATTATATTTCTTCCCATAATCTTCCTATGATACTATAATTCCAGATTCAAAAAATGTGAAAGGTACAGACTTTTCTCTTGTCATTAGTCCTAAAAATATAGTACAGCAATTATCTTCCTAACATGTACATTCTATTATGTCATAAGTAATCTAGAGATTATTAAAAACATATGGATGTGCAAAGGTTATAGGCAAATGGTAACCTGTTTTATATAAAACTTCAACCATTGATAGATTTTGGTGTACACAAAGGGTCCTAGAACCAATCAGCTGCAGGAAGACTGTATGTATTAGTGCTATCAATTCTGTTTTTTGCTAATGAGAAAGTGAATTGCAAGGTGTTGGTGTGCAAAGTTGCAGGGAGATCAGCCCCTGCTCTGGACCTAGCTTTATGAACCTGCTCACTGATAGGAGATGTGACAGCAGAGCTGTTTAATGGCTACAGCCAGAACAGTCATAGCTGCCACTTTCAGAAAGCATGGCAATGAGTCAGGCTTAGCATCAGGGGTTTCATACATGAGATTACATTTAACTCTCGGTGCTCTATGAGGTTGCAATTATATTCTCCTTTTAGAGATGAGAGATTATATCATCAGAGAAATTAAATTACTTAATACGATTGCAACCCAGATTCAAACACAAACTTTTCTGACTTTTTTACTAAATCACTTACCAGGGAAATTCCATTAGTGAAAATGCCTGAATGCTGTACCTAGAGTTTAATCCTAATGTCATGAATATCAACCAATATACTCAGCATGTATATACTACATATTATGTGCATCCAGGTAATATCCATTACACTGAGAAAAGGTGTGTGAAAATGTTGTTGAACATTATCTTTATAGATGTTATAGACTATATAGCTGTTTTCAGCTGCCTCAAAACTGATTTTAACTGTCAGGATTACAGGCCCTAGACTCTTGTGAATTATCATAGTAATTCAAAAATACAGAGTTAGCTTGTATTAAAATTAAAGCCTCACCACTTTGCAAGAGACACAGTTAAGTTTGGGGCAATATCAAGTTATTCTAGATATAAAAATATATGCCATGTCAATGAATCTCTTTCAGAGACAGAAATACAACAGAATATCTTGGCCCTGTCTATATGACTTTGTGCATCATTAATGATCCATTTAAATACTTCTTTTAGTTGATGGTAGAGATTTTCTTCTGATATTATTATATATTAACTTTAAACTATTTTTAATATGGCAACTTTCTCTTTACATTATCTCTTCAAATGAATAGACATTCCCTTATTACAAACTGTAACCATTAATTTAAGGGTTGATAAATCATAAACAGTGTGTGCCTTAGTCATTTCCCATTGCTGAGACACAATACATGACACCCACAATTTAAAACAGCACATTTGGCTTACAGTTTATTACGGTTCAGTTTCAGTTCATGGTCAGCAGGCTTCAAGACAGAAACTGAGGGGCATGACAGAGAAAAGGGTGCTCAACACATGGTTCCCAGGAAGCAAAGACAAGGGAGGGGCCAGGGATAAGAATACACCCTTTCAAGTTTTGCCCCAAGTAACCCAAATCTAATGAGGCCTCACCTCATAACAATAAATCAGCTAAGAACACACCAGTGGACTTATCCACTAATGAGTATTGGTTCCTCACGATCCAATCACCTTCTATACACATATTTGGGTGATGTTTAGATTGAAACACAACAAGGAGGTAGACTGCATGTTTTAAGAAAGTCTGAAATCCACCAACAAGAGTTAGGGAAGAGACCATATTTTAGGGGAAAATGTTTTCTAAATGGAAGGGAGGTGGGAACCATTTGACATAGTATAGTCATCTTCTGGCTGAAATAAATAAAGCAATTAAAGGGGCTGCCATTCTGCATTATCAGGGAGCTCTGTATTACACATAGAAGCAGGGCTTTGGTAGACAACAAACATCTAAGCTTGTCATCTAATACAAGCAATGATCCATATACATGGGCAAGAATCTATTAAATGTTGATGGCAAACAGCCACATGCTGCCCGAGTCAATCATTTGCTTGTGCCATCAAGAAAGGAAACTAATTTTTTAAACCCATTAACACACCACTGTTCTAGTTCACAGTTTGTTGGCTACAAATGGATTGAAAGAGCTTGCTCTCTTTCTTCTCCTCAGATGGAGGTCAGAGTAAATTCCCAGAGTCCCTTTTAACTAGATGTGCTCTGAGAATTGTATTCAATTAATGATTCTGAAGTAACATCTATTTTGGCATATATACCACACATGAACTCATACTTTTTTTATTCATGTCTTTGTATTCAGTTTGAAGTCCATGAGCTCTTCCATGAATTTGTAGTCAGCTGCAAGTTGGAGTCATGAAAAGAACAAAGTTAAGAATAAGACATAACTTTAAAGGAAAAACTTTCCTGAACAACTACAAGCCAGAGGCGTCACTATCGTATATTAAAACTATTATGATTGAGGTGGCATCTCTTATTTCCAACTCATATGTTGTCTTCTTCAAGCTCAGATCTTTATAATAACTCCTTTATTCCTCCCCTTTGAGAGTTTGTTCTTTTGGGTTCCAAAGACACTGCTGAATTTGTTGGAACTACGTTTACACCAAATACTTGTGCCAATTTAAGAAGTTTCTCCACGCAGAAGTTTTATCACATAAGATGTGATAAGCAAAACACCTACAAGGAAATGTCATCTTTCTGTAAAAGCTCAAATCACAATTACTTCTGGCAGTGGTGCACATAGAATACCACAGAAAAGACAGAACAGATCATTGAAAGCTACAGATAAATCTCATTTCAGCCCCAAATTTCAAATGTATCCCCAGACCCCCCTGAATTACTACAGAGTTGATGGTAAAATGCAAAATATGACTTAAAATCCATTATTTTTATTACTTTGAAAAATTTTAACTTATTTGAAAATTTGAAACAAAGAACAAAAAACACTGTTCTAATTCATAGCTTCTAAAAGTAAATTGAATGTACACTGCAGCTATACTTTTATTGCAATTATATATATTACATGTATGTATATATGTGTATACACATGTATGTATGTATATATTTATATACATGTATATGTGTATGTGTATGTGTGTGTGTGTGTGTATATATATATATATATATATATATACACACACACACACTCATCACTTAAAATAGATTTTGTGCTAATCTGTCACTGTCTTCATTTACATCAGAAAATACAATGGTGTTAACAGAAGGAAAAAATGTAGAGATTTAGCAGACTATACCTCCTTCATGCCCACTTTCTTACCAAAGGAAACGAGAGTGAACGACAGAAATGAAGGCCAGAAAGAAACTAAAGGCACTGATGCTTATAAAAAACAATCAAAAGGACTCAGTAAGCTGAAGCAGCTGAAGAACTGAGATTTCACACAGAACTCCCCAGCAAGCTCTCTAAACTGGTCTAAACTGGGTCACCAGGGAAAAGGATGCTTGCTCAGTCCTGAGAATTCCCTGGGCTCCTCCTGAGACTGCCCTAGGCTCAGGATTTCTATCCACGAAAGCTCTCTGTACATCACAGATTCTGGGATCCAAACCCAGAAGTCACTCTCCCCGGGTCATTTCCCCTCCTTCATTCCTGCCAGTTTAACTGTTGCTTCTTCTGCTTTTTTTACTTGTATCCACATTTGGAGACTGATCAGAGTTCTGGTTAATAAATCTTCATTCTTTATAAAACTGCTTTCTTCCAAGTGGCACCCTTGCCTCTCCTCTTGGACACTGCTCTCCCTTATCTTCTCTGGTCTTAAGTGCATGGGGTTACTGGCCCTCACAGTTAAGAAGGAACCCAGAAAATTTAAATCTAAATTTCCTATGTCTTGTTTCCTTCTGTCTACTTTAACCAATAATTTCATATATCATGATTTAGAAATGGATATAAAATGGTGACCAGAATGTTTAAAATGTCCAGTAAATATTGATTGATAAAGTAAACTAACAATTAGCTATGTGTTCAAAGGAATATACAGAAAATATAAGCATGAGAAGTAATTCATATGTGGACTCAACTTAAAATTTCAGAAACAGTGGCCCCTCATCATTAATGAATCACTCTATGATCATAACATCCCATATTCCGAGGGCTTTTCTTTCACATAAGCATAACAGCAGAGGAAATGCCCTTCTGGATAACTGTGCTGCACCTACAAAAGGATGAGGGCAGTATTTCATCACGCAAGCTCCAGGAAGAGTCTTGTGTTATCTGAAGGGTTCTTGAGTGTTACCAAACCATGCAGTATCACCAACTTTTTGCTCGTCTCATTTTAGGCAAAGCTCAGACTAAAGTGGTGAATAACCTCAGAGCTCCTGACTTGGCTCCACAACAGAATGACTGGATTTTGCTGCTTTTCATTTCCAGTTATATTTTCCTCAGCCCATATATTATCACTAGCTGCTTACATGTTACCATGTTTCTCCTCACTTCTCTAACCATGTTTTCAGAAACAAGAGCTAGTGAATCTACCCATCAAACCAAGGTGAATCAAGAAGCTGCAGTCAGGCGGATCACATGAAATCCATTAGACACTTGCAACTTACAAGCTTCCCGGAGTTTCTCTTTTTCATAGTGGAATCCTTCATAGTCTTGTAAACTGATTTTGTTCACCCGGATCCTCAGACGATCTGGGACAGACTGGGGACTGCAAAACAAAAACCACGTGGTCAGAAACAAATGAGAGCGTGACTCTGGGTGTCATGCACCTGGAGGGATGAAGGGCAAGGCTATCTCTTCTGGCTTAGAAGGAGTTCACCTTCAAATTAAAATTGTGGGTTGTGTACCAGAATATAGCAATTATATGGAAAAAGCTTCTTCAGAAAATGAATGCCTCTGGAAGTTAGATAAGAACTAGATTGAATAAATATGCATCAAAAAGGCTTTTAAAACAGCTCTTATGTAATATTTGCTATTAATTTATTAAAAATTCTTAATAAGATAATGTGTTCTGTTACATAACTAGATACAGATAACTGAAACAGCAGAAAGAATGGAGCTATAAAGAACTATAGGTAAAGAGGCCTATAAGAGTCAAACCTGGTCTATTATGACCTAATCCTGAGAAGAGACAGGAAAACATTATTTAATAGTGCAGAATAAGTGTCCACAAAGTAAAGGACTAAGATTAAACAGCTCTACTGAATAGTCTCTCAAAACATCTGTCAATCAAAGCATGATATATTGTATATCCAAAATATACCAATAAAATATTTTTTAAAAGCATAATATATTAAATATTTCCTAGAAGCATGCCTAAAATAGAAAATGTTCAATATGTATAGAATATTTTCATTAGGAAAAGAATAAAGTATATAACTCATTGTGAAAGAATGCAATCCAATGCAAACTGGTTCAGGACACATACTAAACAAAGACAGTAGTGCCAGTTTCCTGAAGCACCCTGCTCACACTAGGTTGCTTGAATTTTCTTTACACAAGTTACATCTTTAAAGTAATTAGAGTCTGGCTATAAGTTGAATAAAATAACTTAGTAAAGTTAGTTTTCATAACTTTCACTCTGAAACAGCACATTCTTTTAACCATAGTACTATAACACAATGCCCACTTATCCTTGATACCAACTTATACCAAGGTTTCACTGATGGAGATAAGTTTCTCAAACAGGGGATTACTGTTCATTCTATACAGAATGGGGATAGAAGTCACCATTTAGTACAATAGAAAGAATATCATTGCTTTCCATTTTTATAACGGAGCAAAAGAAAGAAAAGAAGGAAAGGAGAAAAGAAGACCAGAGAGGAGAGAAGAGGAAGAGAAAAGATGGAAAGAAATGAAGGAAGGAGAAAAAAGAAAATTGGATGGAAAAAAGAAATAATACTTTAAAAATAATCCAGGACTCTTCTCTCCACCTCCTCACACACACACACACACACACACACACACACACACACACACACAAGCTGGTTTAAAATGTACACAGAAAAGCACAGATTCTAAAGAAAGGTAGTAGATACGTGAAAATGTCTGAGGGTCATTGGATCACAACAAAGCTAATGCAGGAACTACAGAGATGGTTATCCCTGGGGGAAGGCTGGGGAGACAGTCTCAGTGGCTACATTGCTCCATCCTTAAGAATGCATGTGCTGGGTGTCTAGTTTATGACACCACTGTGTGGGACACCAAAGAGACACAGTGGAATAAAGCTGATATGAGAATTTAAGTGGTCATCAGAGATCTAGTTTGACATAATAATCTTTTTTCGAGATTACTAGAACAGATCTTAAGTATCTTCAGTATGAATAAGACCTGAAATATGCATATCCACAAATCATGTTACAGGTAAGTAAAATGAGGCTCAGAAAGGAAAAGCAATTTATTTTAAGGTCACACAGCTACTAAGTGGCAGAAATAGGAGCAGAGCCTTGTTCTCCTCAGCCATCCATTTCATGTTCTTTCTTTTACACAATTCTTCTAAAACAGATTTAACCTCCCTTGTCAATGGATAAATATGAAGAACTCTATGGATATAATGACAAAGCCATAAAATCAGGATTAGCACAGTCAGATGTTCTCTATGTGGAACTATGACTCTTTACTAATAAACAATAGGCAAGAAGCTAGTTAAGTAAACTGTGGTATATTCTAATAAAAGAACAGGTGGTAGATATTAAATTTATATTTATTTAGAAGGACGTCTGCTTATAACATGTTACAGAGTGAAAAAAAGGTTTATGGAAAATTATACATGTCATATAAATTGTGGAATTTAGGAGTTTATGTATTCAAGAGGAGAGTATGGAGAAATGTTCAACAAGCTGTTCCAAGTGGTTATCTCTACATGGTAGGATTTCAAACTTGAACGTCTTCATTTGCAGACAAATGACCTAGTTAGAGTATTTTAAAAGCATGCTAATCTATAAATAAGTGATAAACCCCAGATAAGAGTAAAAATAAGAATTATTGCAAAGAGTGCTAGGCATTAGACATGGGAAGAAAAGAATGTAAACTATTAAAGAGTGACCACACAATGTTCATACCAAATACTTATCCCAAAATTAAGGGAGTCTGATCTTCTAATTTCCAAATTCACCTAAATTATCTACAAGATTATAATTACCAAATAAATTTTTCTATAAACATGACAAGAGAGAAGCTGTAACCATAAAATGTGATGGGTTTTCCTACTCTGTAATGGAAGAAAGAGGAGTACAGGGATTGAATGAGTTTGAACTAAACAAGAGATAACAATAGCTCTAGCGTTACCCTGTGAGCTAGAGTACCAAGACTAAGACTTCATTAGGCAACAGTTGCCAACGGAAAACAGCACTGAAGAAAGGACCAATGAACAGTCCCTATTCTCTACCTCCAGTCCTTTTTTGACTTTGAACCAACCCATGTTCACCTTCTTTCTCAAAATCCATCAGTAGCTGCTCCTGTCCACACACTTCTCTTTCCCATGTTCTATGTCCCAGATTCCAGCCCATACAATGCTGCCTCCCCAACCACTGGCTTCCCACCAATCTCCCTGACTGTTGGGTACACACCCTGGCCATGTAATGAGAGTTACTGGAACAGAATTATTTAGAGCCCAAATTAATTCACATATTAATTCATTTCATCTCCCAAATGACCAGCTAAGCAAGAGAGAAGAAAATATCCTCACCCATCATCACTTAACACCTTCCTCTTTTCTGTTCCATCTTCTATCAACCTAAAACACATCCAGCTTTCCCATCAGCAGCAGTTTTCTTACATCCAGTACTCTGACTCAGTTATTGAGTGTTTTGCTTCCTATCAAACTCTTCCCTAGCTGACAATCTTCAACAAATTTTAGGTTATCACATCATGAAATCCATGGTGGATATCCCCTGTGAATCATTTTTGACACTGATGTAAACATTAGGTACAGGAAGGAACACAGCAAAGTGGCTAAGAGCTCAGGCTCCAAACAGATTGACTGAATTTGAAGTAAAATTCTTCCAAATACTAGTCAATCAGGAAATTCTTTGTGGTCGTTTCCTCATAAATAAAGTACAAATAATAATAGCACATATCTACTTTACAGGGTTAAGTATTAAATAAATCTATACATATGTGCTTTTTAAATGAGCCTGGTACATTACTAAGTGATCGCAGATATTATCTAGGATCATTATAATAAGTGTTCTGAAATTTCTCTCTTGAATAATACTCTGTCTAACACTAGCATCTGCTGTTGCCAAATATTAGAAGGAGCTGAGAGCACATATGAAAATTTCTGCGGGCCTTTCTGACAAGGTTCTGGAGGGAAATTGTCTAGTTTGGCTGGTGTCATGAAGTTTCAAACTTCTGGATCTTCTCCCATCTGGTATTTTATACATCCAACTAATAACGAGAACACAGACAGCTAGAACTCAGGGCAGAAAAAGTGCACTGAGACTAAATGAAGGCCAAGGAATTCAATTTTTTCCCTTTATGTCAAAATATATTAGTGTCCTATTACTGGCTGACAAGGTAGAGGATGAAAAAGTTGTTCCTTGGAGTCTGGCAAATAGCACTGCCATTAGTTTTCTAAAATTACATTTTTTTTCCAGGGAAGTTAGTAGAGCATAGAAAAGAATAACAAATTGGCCAAAAATAATTTGCCTCCTTCCAACATGTACCACAAGTTACTAGCACACTGATTTAGGCACCATATGAAAGGCTCTATACCCGACTTTCATGGAACCACTCAAGTTTCCTAGACGGGATTCTGCAATCTGTGAACTCACTTATTTCCTTTGCAACATCATCAGTGAGCTCCTTATGCACAAAGGAAGTTCACAGTTCTGGGTTTCATACTCAAATGTTCCTCATAACAACCTTCTTAACAGCCTTAATAAGATGACCTCTCTCACTCATGTGGGCTTCCAGCTACCTCTGGACCACAGCTTTCATTACCTGCATCACACATGCCTGTGACCCTGAGATGTTGAAGAGAAGTAGATGGCAATTCCATCAAAGTGACTCCCTGAACACTCACTGACATTCAATTTACACCTGATTCTTGTTACTCTTTGCTCTTCCAAAGATGTTACTCATTGTTCCTGTGTAGAATTCAATCCATCAGAATCAAATTCCTTCCTATACTCTCAAAGCTCTGTGTCTTTGTTTCTGAAGAAGCACAATTCCATTCAGCCTGGCAGAAGGCTCCTCTTCCTCAACCTCCTACCCAGGTCTAATCTCCCCATGGCTGGAGCACAGGAGGTGGGTACTTTGGATCCCAGGGGTTACTTTCAGACTACTGATGCCACATGGCTCCTTCTTGTCACTGAAAATATGAATCATGTGGGAATGGCACCCTTTAATATCAAGGCAATCCAGCACAGCGAGGAAAGAAAGATGTAGTCAGAAGGATCTTAGTTCTGATCTATACTCTAACATTTCATTTACAATTGACATTGAGAAAGCTAAAGTCACCTTCTTGAGCCCCTCTGTGATCTGACAATGGAACATACTGAGCACTGAGTCAGAAAATGTACACAAGGTACTCAGTACTCTGTAAGAAAGTGAGAAGGTAATCCAGTAATTTATCAGCAAATAGTAAGCATGCAAGAATATACTGGGTTGCTATCATTAACACAAATGCTTTCAATTTTTTACAATTAATTTTATTTTATTTTTGTGCTTACTTATCTGTAATACAGTGCTAGGGATCAAACTGAG